TATATATATATATATATATATATATATATATATATATATATATATATATATATATATATATGCTGTTGTGAGCGTATGTGTGTTTTTAATGTTGCTAAAAATATTACTAAAACCGAAATCATCAGTGCAATATCGTCCATCTATGCCTTAGTAAACTTAATATGACTATTTTAAAATTAATCAGCAAAACTAAATTGTAGAGCCTCTTACTAGCTCAAACTTATACAATATACTATAGTTTAAGAACCGTTTTTGCACAGTGCTTATGTATTAATTTGAAACAAAATCATTAGTTCTAAGTGTATATCCTTTATATTGTAGGTGCTCCATCTATTCGTAAGTATTATTATGTTTACTTATAAATACACTTTTAACTTTAAAGTAGATCAGTACTCAGTGATCGAAACTATTTTTTTCCATCTCTTTTAAAATTATATCCAAAGTAATTTAAAACAAAATTATTTAATCACCGTGTACACTGTCCATTATCTGCTAGCCTAAAATGTTTTTACAAACTTTCCCTTAAAATAAATACTTAATAATTAATTATTTTGATTCAGCATCTCGTAAGTATTACATTTTTGTCAGCATTTCTTTTCAAACTTTCAATTATGATGGTTATAATGCATTGTATGTAACTATAATTTAAACCATCAATTGCATTTAAAACTTATAAACCACAAAGTCTATGCATAAAATGGAGAAAAAAGCGAATGGATTTAGTTTTTTAGATTCGGTTAAATCAAACGAACACAAGCACATAATTGATTTAAGACAAATTAGTTCTAAGTGTATATATTGTAGGTGCTCCATCTATTCGTAAGTATTATTATATTTACTTATAAATACACATTTAACTTTAAAGTAGATCAGTACTCAGTATTGCGTACAAACGTATTTTTTTTTCCATCTTTAAAAAAAATTGTGTCCAAAGTAATTTAAAGCAAAATTATTTAATCACCGTGTGTTGGGTTCTTCGGTCTAGGGAAATATAAATAACAACAGACAAATGCGACGTATACAACAATAACACTAACACTCTATTATAACAATAATAATAAGATATTTAATAATATATACAGTACTAAAATAATAAAAGGATCAAAAGGGGTCTACAACATAAATACAATACTCAACACCACGTTCCATGTTCCACGTCCACAGCCACACTACAACTGACTGATTCACACACTAGCACACGCTCTGACACCCGTCACCTGACACACCTCACGTGAACACTTCTCGCTCCATGTAAACACACTCAACCAAGGGATACAACTATACACCAAAGGGAGGCTAGCTGTCGTTCCAGCACACAACACACACACACACAAGCAGGGGACATGTAAGGGACGTAACACTGTGTACAGGGTCCATTATCTGCTAGACTAAAATGTGTTTACAAACCGATTTTATAAATCAATGTTGCATTATTAATTATATATAAATTTGAAGATTTTTAATGTAAATTCCCATTACCAATTTGTTATTATCATAATAAACTTTTTTTTAATATAAAAATTTTGAGTAGTGGTAAGTTTGGTTTAAAATCGCTTACATATTATACGTGGTACACAGAGCTTCTGCTCAAAATGCATTGGAAAATAGTATTGTTTACGGCACACTCAGGTTAATTCTGAATTCAGAGGTCATGATTTATGATTGATTAATATGAGAGAACACCATGATAAATGTCCATACTTGTTTCATTACAGGTCCTCTGTCTTATCGTCGTGAGTATTATCATCTTTTTTTAAAAGAACACATAAACATTTTGGTTGAGATTCAATATTAAAATAAAAGTTTAAATTTATTTTTAGATCTAATTATCTTTTCTGGGCAGATGAAGTAGAGTTCAATGTTTCCTGACCTCGGCATGTGAAGTCACGGTGTGGTCAAAAATATTATTTTCCCGATCCCAAATAAGGTACCCATCAGAGCTGGGTACACTCAGGGACGTCCTACAGTCACAAGTCTAATTGAGATCCAGACTCGCGTTCTTTGGGCTAGCAGTCAAACGCCCTACACATCAACCACGCCCTCCCACCTTTTCTTCATTTAGAGTAAAGAGGAGAGGATTGAAAGAGATGAATGTTTTGATATTTGGAAAAAAAACATTTTATTTTTAAATAAATATAAGGTGATGTTGGCGGCGGTGTCTTAACATTCTTTTGATGAATGTTTTGAACATCCTTTTTAGCCGACGTGTTGCGGTGGTTATATAGCGCTTATGAAACAGTGTAGGCGGTGCGGCGTCTCGCAACATTGAACAGAGACGCGTTTTGTTTGATTTATTTTGTTATGCTTAACTTGTGTGGTGATAATTTCACAACAAAACTGAATTTACTCAAATATGTTTGATCTTCATTTAATGCACCATGCTTAAAAAAATTAGTTAAAGCGATTACTTAATAAAGAAAGTAAAATGCATTTTGAAATCCTTAGATAAGCGAAAATAGTAGCTTTGTCTTATTTCATATATGAAAGAGAAAGTATTGTTTTTACACTTTTCATATAGTAAATGCATATTAATTGCGATTGTCTGCGTGGTAATATATATTTTTATTCCTTCCTTTTTGCGTTTTAATATGTTTTGTTTATCAACAATTTAGATTTAAATTGATTACGAATGATTATTTGGTAATATATAATGGTAATATTTTTCGGGCAAACGGCCTTCAAGCAAGTGTCCATTCGGACATTTGTCCCATTCGGGCAAGTATCCATTGGAGCATTTGTCGCATTCAGGCAAGTGTCCATTCGGGTAATCGGCCTTCGGGCAATAGTCTTACGGGAATTTGTCGTAGACCCGTTTGTGAGTGTGTGTATGTGTGTGTGTGTGACAACGTGAGTGTGCTGTGGCGTGTGTGCGCGTGCGTATGCTTTAAATAAATTAAAATCTATCTATCTATATATATAAAATGCAATGTATGTGTGTTTGTGTGTGTTTGTCCTTTATGCATTACTACACCTCTCATCACATCGCCGTGAAACTTTGGGAAGTTGTTGAGAATATTCCTGGGGAGGTTTCTGCGAAAAAAAAAATTTCAAATTCGCAGGGGTGGCGCCCCGGCAAGGCGCGATTTGTTTTTCTCTGTATACGGTATATAAAAATAATAAAAGAAAATTGCAGTGACACCGTTCACACGATCGCCATGAAACTTTAGAAAGATGTTGAGAATACTCCTGGGGAGGTTTTTACGCAAAAAACATTTTTAAATTCGTAGGGGTGGCGCCCCGGCAGGGCGCGATTTGTTTTTCTCTATATAACGTGTATAAAAATACAAGTCGATTTTGGTTTGGCATCGATAGCCATGAGACTGTGGGGAGTTCATTATACCATTCTAAGGAAGGGTTCTGTAAAAAAATAATTTTTAATTTCGCAAGGGCGGCGCCACGGGAGGGTGCGATTTTTCTCTATATACGTTTTATAAAATGTCGTTTTCACACCGTTCATCCGTGTACCATGAAACTTTGGGGAGATGATTAGATCGCTCAATGGTAGGGTTCTGCAATAAAATATTGTTTAGTATTGCAAGGGCGGCGCCCCCGGAGGGGGGGAGCGATTTTTTTTTCTATACACGGTATATAAAAAATAAAACTCGGATGCGGTTCATCCGAGTGCCATGAAACTTTATGGAGTAGATGAGAATACTTACAAAAATATTTCTTCGAAAAAGAAAACTAAAGTTTCTTTCGGGCGGCGCCATTTAGGGTACAACTTTCGTCCATACACGGATTGGCGCCCAGAGTTTTAAAGCGACTAAGTTGGCATTTGGCATCCGTTGATCGAGCGTCCTGCATAGCGAGTAAGGGGTACTACAATATTCAGCGGTAAAACTACAACAGGCTTCTAAAAATAACTTTGTAACGCGAGGAAATCCTTCTGTACAGTTTCGTCACCTTGCGAAAGATGAAAAAATAACTTTTTGAATATGAGGAGCCTACTGTAGAGTTTTGTCACTTTGCAAATGATGCAATAAGCACCTATTATTAGACAATCCAGTGAGAAATTGAGATCGAGCATCTAATAATAGACCATTAGTAACGCTAGCCTATTGCTTCAGTCACACTGATATTTAAAACACGTCAAATAATTTTTTTTCGTGTTAAAGAAAAAATTCCTGTTTATTTGTGTCACTTTAGCGAATGACGAAATCTGCATTATTATTAACAGGATGCTATTTGGCCGATGGCGCCTGTTAGTTTTAAGGAGCCATGGGTCGTACGCCGCGCCTATGCGGTAGTGTAATCGGGGGGTGGGGCCCTGAGAGCGCCCCTCTACGCCCCTGACACATGGGTGGTCACCGAAGTGTGTTCTACCATATTATTTCGGTGAGTGATTAATGTACACATAAGGTTTTCACGCGGTAGTGTAGGTAAACCCGTGTCCCAGTATTTATGATCCAAGCGCAGGCATTGTTTTCATTTAAATAACTCACTTTTAGAAAACAAGGTCACGCGTCTAAGAATATAGGATTTGTAACGTATGGATGAAACCCTTCTTCTATTCCCGCGGCAACGCGCGGGGACGGGTACGCTAGTAACTATATATTTTATTATATACAACGGATGTATATGTTTCTATTTATCGTACGTGTTTGGCGTGGCTGAAAGTTTAACGTAACGTTTTACAATTATTTTTTTCCTTTTCCTTATTCTTTACTAGAAAATTATTTTTAGTGACTTTCTAATTTTTTACAACGCTACTCTTATCAGGAAAATCTAAACACTTTATTCAAATTTAAAATATTCATACCCTTGGTCAAATGTCAAGTTAATTTAATTCATATTAATTATATTAATCTTTGGTATTCATTTTTGCGGAATATATTATTTTTTCAATAAAAGTGCATTTTACTAAACATGTGAGGCTTTAGCTTTTGGTGATTGTGCAGCTTATCGCGTTGAATGCAGGGTGTCGTGTTTGCAGTAGCGTAGCGAGGAGGGCGGCGGAGAGATAAATGTCCATGGCCACCGACCTTATGGGTGGCGCCAAAATGGGTTGGAAAAACAAATTGAAAGTTTGAGAGGGGGGGGGGGGGTGCGAGGGCTGGGGGTGCAAATCGAAAGTTTGTCCCCGGGCGCAGAGGAGGGCCGCTACGCCTCTGCGTGTTTGTTATAAAAGCAAAAGTTTTTTTCTTTAAAAAAAAAGCCGAGTGTCAAATAATGATTAATGGTTTCTAGAATATTAAATTCAAACAGTTATATTAACCTTAGTCTTACTAAATCTTTTTGTTTTACAAACAGGCCTAAGTACACTTTCAATGTATTCAGATTTCAATACTGGAGAATGGAATAGCATAATTGGTAAATATTTCGGTTTACTTTTAAAAGAGGTTACAAAAAAGGTAAATTAAACTAAACTTAAAATATTAATACAAAAATGATAAGTTACTGAACTATCGATAAAACTAATTGCATTTCTCTAATAACCACACGCAAGAAAACCTAAAATACGTTGCTTCTTCAGCACTACACTAAATATATACATCATCCATTATTCTAGGAACCAAACAAGTGTTAGTAATTAATAAAGTTCTACATTAATCATTTTACAAATACGTTAATCCTATTCTTAATGGGTTTTTCTTCACAGACACACTCAACACGAAGTTCAAGTGTGTCATCCTTTTGAAACAGAAGAAAATTTATTCACACATTTCAATACATGTCAGAAAAATCAAGACCATGCAGGATTTATTCCAATCCACGATTTTAATATTCGACATATAAACATAACACAAAAGGTGGAGGAGTTGTACAACATCATTAAGCTAGCAGCTGATCTTACAGTAAGAATAACTGTAACCTACACAAGCACAGCTAGACCTAAGACTGTTGAAGAATCAGTTCAAGAATATCCGTGTTCGAATCAAAGAGGGACAAATTGTCTGAGAACAGGGACAGGAACAATAGTTGGTGTGTCCAAATTTCAAGATGAGGATAAGAAAACCTGTCAGTGTAAGGTTTGTAAAGTTTCAGACACTCCACAAACCACCTGGTGGAGTGTGGGTGTGATGACAGCCACCCACGTGGTGTTTGACGACAGCGAGGCTGAGAGTGCCACATGCAGGCTGTTCTTTGACCAGGCGGACAGTCCAGTTGTGACGTTAGATGGCTGGAGAATGTGGGACATGAGCATCAAGGGAGACACCTGCAGATTTTCTTGTGCCTCACATGACATGGAATTGTACGAGAAAGTCCAACGCATCTTCAAAAGTTTTCTTTTCTATCCCAACAAGTTTGAGGAAAGCGTGTCTTTTATAGTGTCACATCCACATGGCTGCTCAAAACACGTCTCTATAGGAAAATACAAACAAAAACGTATTAAGCAATTGCATCTCCATTACATCGCAACAAAATACTCTTATGAAATGAGTACGTGTCCAGGAAGTAGCGGGGCTTATGTATTCTCTAGTGAAAACTTGCTGGTACCTCACGTGCACAGTGGATGTAGGGAGGGCATCAATTACAGTGGGGAAGGATTTCAAGAAAAGTACTCAGACTGACACCAGTTTAAATTCATAGCACCCCCCTCCCCCTTCCCACCTTTTCCCTCCTCTCCCCACCACCCCCCCCCCCCAAGATCTCTAAATATAAAAAATATCTCGCAACTTCAGAAACATTTGTAGCCTACAAAGGTAATTGCATATTACATGAACTGAATTAAATTTTAAAAATGTATTTTGCAATCAATAGATATGTGCACATATATAAATAAAATACAGTTCCTAATAATTTATCTCATAATTTTCTTTCACTAACATATGTGTTACTACCCGCTAAATTGGACATTCGTTATACACATCAAATAATTGTACATCATGCATAAGTGCAGGTTTTATTAGGAATTTAACTAAATGAACTGCACTGAGCTTACATCACAACCCCATACTATACAATACAACAATTATTTTTAAAATTGTATTCCCCTATCGGTTTCGTGTATCTTGACAGGTACGCAAAAACTGAGGTATTGTTTTTTACGGAACAAATATAAAAAATAAAAAATAAGACATAAAATTTGCCAGTTAATTATTCACCATTTAATTTTCTTGTGATTTCTCTTTGTTTTAAAATTTGCAATGTACATTTTTTAACAGTTTATTCATTAAGATGGCTTTGAATTAAGCATGCATAATATATTTACTAATTTCCACTTTGTGTATTAAATATTAATTTTAAGCCTTCTCTATATATTAAAAAACCTATTGTGGAAATACAGATAAGTAACATGTATTCACGTCCGCAATAAATGTAAATACATCAATTTTGAAAGGGATGAAAATACAGAACATTTAAAACATTGGATAAGTTGTAAATTAGGGGAGGGGGAGATGGAGTGTGACGTCATTTTAGGGGAGGGTCTGACGTTTTGTGACCATGTGTGACGTAGGGGGAAAAGGGGGTAAAAAAATGACCAAATAAACGTGACGTCATTTATGGTCGACCCCTATGTTATTGTAAGGAATGAACGAGGGTGCAATGGAAGCGACTGGTCGAGTGACAGCGGGTATGTTGTGAGCGAGAGAAAGGAGGTGTGTAGGTATAATTTAGGGAGGACAGTTACAGGTTGGAGCAAGAAGGCGAAGATCGATGTGAAGCGAAATAGATGAGATTAAACTTGATTGGTATACCTTTACGAGTTTGTTGGTGTATCGTATACCTGAGTGTGCAAGACCTCTCACTCCCTCACACTCGCTATTATTTTATGATCATTGTACATTTAACATGTTTAAGGAGTAGAGATTATTTAAAACCAAACATCATTTTATCAACATATTTTTATAAACACAAAAACTAGGAAAGGAAACATTATTTAATTCGTAATACAATTAACTTTCATAATAATTATTTACACTATTGTTTATTAGATTTCAAATTGTCGTTAGTTTTTTTCTAAATTATCCTTCCAAACCTGACGATCAGTTGGGTAGGTGAAATAGAGTTAATCTTGTGCAGATGCAGAAACAGTATATAGAACAATACCCAGTCGCCTTTATTTACCCTAACCCTAAGTCACAAACACATGAGATTGGGTAGGCTTTCCTGGATCTGAACTCGAGACTTCCGCGTTAGCAGTCGTATATCGTATGCTATTCTTTAAAAACTTCTTCAACGTTTAGTATGTAGTTTGTGTTTGTGCATGTATAGTGTCTGTTTATATCTATCTGTATTTCCCCTATGCTTATTGTTACAATCGGCTTCGTAAGTATACACAAAACCGCACTTGTGCTGAAGCCTATACCGTATGTAAAACTGTGTTGTTTGTTACTTATAAGCCCACAGGGTATTTAGGTCTTTTTATATGTGTTAATACCAGGCGCTCTTGATCCTTATTAATGTCACAACTATTTATAGCTTGAGCTAACATCTTTGTCAGGTTGTAAAATGGAAATTCCATCGATAAAAATTTCGATGTGTCTCTTAAGTAATTATGTGTGTGATTGTGTGTAAAATTGTTTGTATGTGTATATGTTTGACGTGCATTTTTTGAGAATGTATGTCACGGTGGGAGTGCTTTGGTGTTTGTATATGTTAATAATGTTGAATGGCTGTATACATATTTACTTAATTTAATTTCCTTCAACAAATGTCTTTTTGTATATGTGTGTTAATAATTGTGATTGCAAGTATGTCAGTCTGTGTGCAAAGAGTTGGGGTAGATATAAAAGAAGACAAAGACAAATCGTTCGTGTTTCTCAAATACATATTTATTTACATATACAGATATTTTCTAAAAGCGGTTTACCATTTTGTTAAAATGTACAGGTGATGCCAAGCGGAACTGCTGCTTAAAGTATACTTTCTGAAAAATCTTGACGTTTCTACGAGAGTAAACATTTAGCGTGAACCACAGCTCACCAGACCATGTGGGGATGGGTGTGGTAGGGATATGCCTAGAGAGGAAGAGAGGGGGCTGCTAGGCGCGCTTACAGCCTGGTGTTTTCTATGGTATCGAAGAAGAGAATTATATATATATAGAAGATTACGCTGTTATGAAATATATTTCGAAACAATTAAATAGGTTGTATACATTTTCCAGATTACAATTTATATTTTATTAATAAGAGCGAATGTCGGGAGCCTATTTCAAATCATGTATCGCTTTTATTTCAATGTGTTGCGTTCTAAAGAATGTAGGCCAGTTTAAAAGTAAACAGTTTAAATCCTGTTAAAGGGACGTTATAACTGTGGAGTGGGCTTTGTTTTGGCTCATCCGAGGATTTGTGAATAGCTCATTGATATTTTGTCTGGAAAAAAAGTGTCATTAAGATCTTCTATCCATACATTTAAAGTATTTTTTCCCAATCATTGATATTGTTGTTTTGATGTTTTAAACATTTTTTAAATAAAATTTAATGTCTTGATCTAATGTGCCTTTAATACAACGTTTAAATAAAAAAAATATATAAAAAAAAATGTTTTTAATTACATTTTCTTTCCAACTGCCATATACATAAAAATAGAAGAACGAAGATACATTAATTAAAATGAAAAATAGGTTTATGGAAATGATAACAAAAGAGTGTGCTATTCAGATGTTTGTCATTGTGAATAACTCAAAACGTCGCACCAAATTGTATTCTTTAAAAATGTGAACATTTAAAATTGAATTTAAAAAAGTTAAATAGTGAATTAAAGAAATCATATATCAGAATTAATATCAGAATTAATATTATTTTGTAAAAAAATGTAAATAAATAATTTTGATAATAAATCATGAAGTATATTTTCGGATTAATAATTTGTATTTATGGATTTTTAATAGCTAAAAAAAGAAGAAAAAGCATAATTGAAAAGGAAAAAACTATCCCCATATTTTAAACATTAAAATGTTTAAAACATTTATAATATTACTAAAAAATTAAATGTTTAATGGAAATTTAGATAGCATACCTGATGACTAGGTAATAATAATAATAATAATAATAATAATAATAATAATGAATGATACAGTATATGTTTTTTTCCTCGAAATTTGTAACAGTATATTTCATTTTAAAACTTACCAATATTTGCTTGACTAAATTATTTAGATATCAATTTTAAGTTTCAAAATGTAGGCTTAGTAAGACAAAAACATGTTTAAGTCAGTTAACATAATAAAAAATAAAAACGTAACCGATGTCTTGTAAGTAAAATGTCAGGAATATATGTGTGACCAAAGTGGTAGAACGCTATACTGATAACCAGAAAGTATCGAGTTCAAATCCGGGTCCAGTTCAACTCCCCAAAGATCCATAGCAATCGGTTGACGCAATCGACTTTCATTTTGATATACCGTATGTAGAGAAAAATTTAATCGGGCCCTGCCGCGGCGCCGCCCACTGCAAATTTGAATTTTTTTTTCTCGCTGGAACCTTCCCTAGGGGTATTCTTAACAACTTCCACAATTTTTATGGCGATGTGATGAAAGGTGTAGTAATGCATAAAAGACACACACACAGACACATACTTTGCTTCATATATATATATATATATATATATATATATATATATATATATATATATATATATATATATATATATATATAGAGAGAGAGAGAGAGAGAGAGAGAGAGAGAGAGAGAGAGAGAGAGAGAGAGAGAGAGAGAGAGGTTTGGAATGCTTTGTGACATTGAACTGTTTATTCTACCAACTTCCCTTAGGGGTCGTCTGTAAATGACGTCACACTTGTAGGGGGAGGGGGGGGGGTCCGTAATTTTGTAACGGTGTGTGATGAGGGGGAGGGGTGCGACGTCACACTTTTGCAGTATAAAAAAGCAATGTTAGAAAACAAATTTTAGACGTTATTTCGCGTTTTAGAAAACTGTTTTAATAAATTGTGATAGGAATTGATTAAATTACTCTATTTTGACAGAGTTGAGACCAAATTTTAGAAACAATATCGATGTTTAAAAAAAAATTCAACTGCAATTTTGAGGGGGGTTGTAACTGAGGTGTGACGTCATTTTAGGGGGGGGGGGTCTGGCTTTTTGTGACGACGTGTGACGGAGGGGAGGGGGAGGTAAAAATCGTAGAAAAAAGCGTGACGTCATTTTTGGATGGCCCCCAGAGTTTCTTCCAGGCATCTATTCAGGGGGGGGGGGGCGAACGAAATGAAATTTATATAATGTATATAGAAAATGTATACTTTTAACAGTATCCGCCCCCCCCCCGAATATTTCAAGTGCCCCCCCCCCCCAGAGAAAAAAGTCTGGAAAAAACACCGATGACCCCTTATATCCAATGACCATTTCATCGACAGATACATTTAGACCGGGGTAAAATGCATCTTGGATTGATGCCACCAGTTTATCAGAAAAAGCAAAATTTTATCGTTCGCTTCTCCTTTATCAACACACGCATGTAAAAATTTGTGTAAGAGGGCCTGAGACCTTTTTCTGACCATGGTTTGTCCATACCAAGGTGTGGAAAGGTGGGCTTCTTTTACATACCAGTAGCTTTTTATTAAAGGCCTAGGGTTGAGGCCCATAGCTATCAAAGTAGCAAAAAATGTCAACAA